TCAGCAGATGTACAGAGACACAAATTGCAAACAGAGCATTACCTTTGACAACTAGATAGGCAGACACATTGACTTGGAGAATGAGTTCACTTTGAAGTTGTCACTTTTCAAAGCACTTAGCAATGAACAGAATTACAAATCTAAGGTGCCATTTGCAGTAAAGATCCCTAAGAAAGCAGGTGTCCAAACACCTTGTGGTTGGTGGATAAGCATTTTTCTGAGTATAAATAGGGATGCCCAGTACTGCCTTTCTTCTCCTTGGCACAAGAGTGCCGGTTGAGCACAATCCTCAGAATATGCAATGGGCATACCAATTTGTTTATAGCCTGCTTTTTGGTGCCGTGGGATAGCAAGGGTCTGTGTAACCAAGCTGTTTCTGTGTCTTAATCTGAATTATTTACTTTTCTTAAACATTTTCAGATGGTATAGTTATGACAAGGGTGTGAAGAAAGTTATTATTGTGATGAAAACCTGATCATGATACGAAGTAAAAAGTTTAAATATTCAAATCATTACAGATATCCTCCCAGGTCCTTTCTAATTTCACCCCTTCACCATCAAATTATCCCCCTATTGCTACAAGTGATTCAGTTCCTGCAATGATAGCAATAGCATAGACAGTGCACTCATCACTGGTGGTTTTACCATCAAAGGGGTGATTAAAAACACAGGCACCACAGGACAACACTAGTGTTCCCATCATTGGTATTAGTGATGGAACTGAATTAGTGGTAGCACTGAAGTGGAATTTTGGGTCAAAAAGGCAAGTGTGAACAGAACCTCAGTGATTAAGAGCAGAGCTGGTTAGAAAAAAGTAAGTATATTTTGTGACAATTTTCAAAAGAAATTAAAATGTTTTGTTTCAATTGACATTTTCTGTAATTTTTTTGTTTCAATGAAAAATTTAAAAATGTAATGGAATGTATATTTAAATTGCTTTAGTGGGGGGAAAACACTAAAAAAACCTCTCTTCTATCTTTTTCCAGTGGGAAAAAAGTAGAATGTGAAAAGTTTTTTTCCTACTGAAATCAAATATTTATTAAAAAGATTTAAATGGAAAATTTGTGAATAGCTAAAGTTAAAAGGTCAGAACTGAAATGTATTCAAGCAACAAGTAGGTGAGAACTGTTCAGATAGCTGGTGGTCCAGACTGGAGCCCTAACTGAAACTGAATTCAAATGGATATTGAATTTGTAATTGGATTCAAATGGGTTTCCTTTAGTGTTGCAGAGTGGCTGGACAAAAGGGTGGTCAACACATCCTGATTCAAATGGCCAAACAATACTCATTATTGAGAACAAAAGACCCTATGTGATAGAGAAGGTGTGGCTTTGGGCTGATTGGAAGACCTTTTATCACAACATAGTCATGTGTCAAGCATGTTTATGCACCACCATGCCTTCCTTTATGCTATGAAACTCTGGGCAGCCATCCCATAGTGCCTCGGCAGGAGGAGAGTGCCTGGAGGACATGCACACAGAACGGCATTAGCGTGATGTGGGAATTTTTCTAATGCTCTCTATATTGCCACAGTTGTTACCAGCAGAAGAGCTCAAGCTTTAGCTCCTTGGTCTAAAGGCAAGGGCAACAGAGTGTTTTTTGAGGGAGTTCTCAGCTTTGGAACTACTCCTTCCTTGATCTGATATAGTCCAGGTTTGTTGGCATGCTTGGGTTAAAGCCTATTTACTTGAGCCTTGGGGGAAGGCAGGGTTTGATGGTGACCAATATTTTTGGGCAGGGGAAGGGCAAAGTGTTGTTGCATTTGCCAGTGAGTTAGCTGCTAGTTTTAGTTTTGATTAATTGTTTTTGGTGTCAAAGGTGCCTAGAGTGTTAGTTATTTTTAATAAAATATTAATTTATTAATACATTTAATTATAATTATTTATTATTTAAGTGCACTTCCCTTACCCACCTAGGGGAGGAGAAGCCACGGAAAAGTTGACTGAAGCAGCAAACCAGGGAAAAACGAATCATAATGTATTTAGCAAGTGATAATCAGGGCCAAGCCTAGGCATGAGGAAAATAGGATACTGAAAGTCTGGACCTTCAGTCTGTTGCAAACTCTGCAGCTCACAAGTCAACCCTATTTATGAATCTGGTTCTGCTCCATGAGTGTGGGGAAGAAATCTCTGTGTGCTGCTGCTAGGAGGGAAAAAACCTCAGTGCTGCTAGATCTGACCTCTCTTCCCAGAAGGGATGTCCTGTGGATCATTAAGACTGGCCCCGAATCATCCAAATCACAGAAAAAAATACATACAGTAGAACCTCAGGAATGGAGGTTATATGTAACTTTGAAATGTTTGTAACTCTGAACAAAATGTTATTGTTATTCTTTCAAAAGTTTGCAACTGAACATTGACTTAGTACAGTTTTGAAACTTTTCTATGCAGAAGAAAAATGCTGCTTTCCCTTTAATTTTTTAGTAGTTTATGTTTAACACAGTACTGTACTGTATTTGCTTTTTTTTTTTTTATGGTCTCTGCTGCTGCCTGATTGCGTACTTCTGGTTCCAAATGACGTGTGTGATTGACTGATCAGTTCGTAACTCTGAGGTTCTACTGTAGAGGAACTATTTCCTGACTAGTAAATTATTTAACATTAAAAACAGTAACAACTAATGAGGAATGAGAGAATTTCCTGGTATTCCCCCCTACAACTACATTACTGTCCTTTGCTCAGATAAGTGACTGCAATGCATCAGAGGCCAAGTGTCCCTCCGCAATAAGGGAAACCTTAGGGAGGGGATGGGACACCTTCCTAACAAGGAGTGGGGGGATCGGAAATGCAAAATCTCTCCCTATTCCTCACAACTAGATCCCAGATCCTATTATGATGTTGTAAAACTGCAAGTGTACACAGCAGTGTAAACCATGCTAAACAAATAACAAAGTTCCTGCCCTAAAGAGCTTAAAGCTAAAGGCATGAGTGAGCACAAAGCAGTACAACACAAAACAAACACATGTGGTCTTTACAGCTGGAAACCTTATTATCTCTCAAGAGGGATAAAAAATAAGTAAAGCAGATTTCATCTCTTTGGAAATGGAGCATTTCACTCTGCCAAAAATGTGTACTTCACAAAACAAAACAAACCACAAGTAACTAAGTTGCTAGCGTATAGTTGGGTGCCTGGGGAACGTGGGACTGCCGAGGGGCTGGGGGATAGTGGAGAAGCAGGACTTAAAGTGGGTGTAATTTTCTGGATTTGCTGCTGTCCTAGTCCTTTACAGGAAAATCCTATAATCCTTTATATAAAATTATATATTTTCTGTGGATTTTCCAGACCATATTAAGAATAAAGATTTATATCACTATTATAGAATTTTATAGGATGGCCCAGAAAGCCTAAGAGAAATGGTGTATTCTACCAGCTTTTGAGAGTAACTTCTATAGGACCCTATTACATTTCTATAAGAACACTGTTGGTTTTATCCCTTTTAAATTCTACAGGACTTTTTCAAAAAGGGGTATCTCTGTGATTGTCCCTGTTTGGTCAGGCCACACACATTGTGCTGAAGGACGGCTGCCTGTGTGTTCCCCAAATCAGTTCCAGGGCCCACGCTGGTTTCACACTGTAGGGCAGGGGTCGGCAACGTTTGGCATGCGGCTCGCCAGGCCCTGGCGGGCCGGGTCAGTTTATTTACCTACTGACGCGGCAGGTTCGGCCGATCACGGCCCACACTGGCCGCGGTTGC